TATATATATATATATAAAGGTGTATATCATAACTCATAAGCGGTGATGTAATTGTACCGTATTTGGTGCGTCATGAACCACAAGGAATCGGAAAAGAATCTATGGCCCACTTTTCTTTCAAGTCCAAAAGCACTTTACATAAACACACAAAAAAACGTTGCAGATTATGTCGTGTTCAAACCGTTCATCGCCACACTTCCAGCTGTCCCTTTAGAGTCCAAAATTTTATGGTTTAATTTTTACGCTCAAAGATACTTAACATATAATTAGCTGACTTTGTAACTTTTCTTTACATGGTTAGTACAGTACATATATAGACCATTTATTATAATTTAATTATCTAAGCGTCATATGGTTCACATGATATAACATTCAATCTATCTATGCTTATTACTTTTTTTTTTTTTTTTCCTTTTTACCAATATCTTAGTATAAGAAAAACATTTATTTCCGCAAAGTCTTTGTTCCCTGAGAAAAATGCGTGGAAATTCACCAATCTGCTTGTACTTTAAAGTGGTTAATCTCTTTGTAACTGATGGATATATGTGATTCCATTATAGTTTGTTTATATTATTGTCAAGATATATATATAAAAGTTAATTTGCTTTAGGACTCGGAGAGAAATTACACACAGAAAGATAAGCCAAGATATTCAGATTAGCACCGTAACAGTAGCATGTATGACGTGTTCTCCTTTTCTAGAAAATTAAGCCACACAAGAGATAATTGATTTGCACAAAAGCGATGATAATTGGTTCATGCATTACACGGGTTTTGCTTCCACTTTTGTGGAAGATGCTTTCCGTGTTTGAAATCTCCCCAACAGCAATTTCAGAGGAAATAACTTGTAAAACTTGTAATTTCAACCTTGTAAGTGTAAAGATGAATTTTCTGTTGTGCGTAAGGAACAAATGCACCTTATGTCTCATCAAAATATGAAAGTAACTCATTTTGTATGCCAAGTAAAGTATGGACACAAATTAGCCACAACTTCTACCATATCTAAAAGCTTGGAGTTGAATAATTAACGCGTCATTTGGTTTCCCACTATCACAGAAAAGGACAAGAACGCACTTTTGATCGCTGAAAAGATGAACATTAATCAAATGGCATATGTCTCTCTTTTAGCATGGTGATAAACGTGGCTAGCGGTTCTCTAGTTCAAAGTTCAAACACTTTTGTATGGGCGGTGTTGAGTAGAGGAATAGCCAACAATGGGAATACGATAAGATAAGCCCAAAGATGATGGATAGATTCATTAAAACATTATGTTGGAATTACTTTGCTTTCGTATGTCCAATTATTAGGGGTGTTCATGGATTGGTTTTTTCAAAAAACCGATTCAAACCGAACCGAACCGTTTTATAAAAGTGGATCGGTTAACCGATCCTTTTTTTATAAAGTGGATCGATTTGGTTTTTTTAACATATGGATCGGTTTTTTTAAAATTAGATTGGTTCGGTGCGGTACAGTTATCCACTTTTTTACTCATATATGGATCGGTTTTTCTAGAAAACCAAACCGAACCGAACCGATCCACTTTGTAAAAATGGATTGGATAACTGAACCGGTTTTATAAAGTGGTTCGGTTCGGATTTTTTTTTAAAATGGATCAAAATTTTCAATATAAATCGGATCGGGATCGGTTCAGATCAATTTAGATTTTTTGCATATCCCTACCAATTATCATGTTCTTCGAAGCGGTCACGTGCTATACATTACATGGCAATGGCATCAAAGGGTTTTGCACAAGCCAGTTCCCAATCCACGTGTTTACATGTTATATAGAACATTGGAACTTTGACAGATTAAAAACAGTTGGCTTTGTATACAAATTTGTGTCACACGAACATTTTCCTTTTCTAAGTTACAACTTTGAAATTCTTTGAAATTACGAAATGATAGTTCTTCTTACACAGTTCCTTTTTACAACAATATTTTCAAATCAAGAGAAAAATAGAAAGAAAAGAGAGATTTGTGATGAGAAAATTATATCTTCCATCTACATTACTTCTCTTTAATATCTTCCAATGCAAGTTTTTAAAAATTAAAAAATTGCAATGTACGATCTTCGCGTTATTAGCACGACGCT